CACGGCCATGCGCATCCTGGGCGGAGTCATCAGCGCCATCAGGTAAGGCGGGGCTTGGGGAGGGGGCGTGGCCTAGCGCGCACAGACTAAACTGACACGAATAGAATTAAACCGGAGACGGACCCGGGAGCCTGCACGAGGCTAGGCCGGCCTGGCCTGGGAGTCCAGCCTTAAGTGGGGAGGATCCTGATGAGGCTGATGTCATGTCACGGGGCCAGGGCTTGACTTGGGTATAGTGTGGTTGTGCAGATCCCGGGGAATGGGGGCCCGAGGGGGCGGATCCGGAGTGTCGGGAGATGGGCTTTATGGGGGCTGTGAGCAACGTGCACTGGCTAACCTGGAGACCCCAACGTTAAGGGGGCGGAGCCAGTGAGTCTGAGTGACACTTCACGGGGGCGGGGCTTAGCCCGGTCTGCGGTCTCGGTGGGTCCATGAGGGGGAGACCCAGGAGAGGCCAAGACTTAATGGGATAGGGGAAATGGCCCAGAAGGGGCTGAGTCTGGTTTAATCTGGCTAGATGAATGAAGTGCCATGATAGGGGAGGGCAAATTGTCTGTTCGAGCCTAATTAGCTGTGGCCACTGAGCCCTGATCCTTCGAAGGGGCCTAAACGATTGGAGCCGGGGCAGCACGTTGGGAAGACAGGCATTTGGGAAAGGGGGCAATGCAGTGGGTCTAGGGCAGATGGGACCTACGGAGGTGAAGCCCCGAAAAGCTGCGGCAGAACCCCTGTGAAGTGAGACCTTGAAGAGGAGGTGTCTGTTGAGTCTGGGTAGGATTTGGGGTTGAGTGGGGCCGAGGTGACTCTGGACCCTTCCACAGGACGGGGTGCCCTGGCAGGAGTGGAGCCTGCCATGGGGGCAGGTCTGTGGGTTTCCCCGTGGGTGGGGTTGGCCTGATGAGGAGGGGCAGGACAAGGGCAGTGTGGATGGGGAGGGGCGAGGACGAGAACAGTCGAAGGGCTGAGCGACCGAGTAAGGAGGGTGGCGGGCTGGGGTTTGGGAAGTGGCACTGGCAGTTCTGCTGGCGCCGTGGGTTCCGCGGGCGCTGCCGGTTGGAGGCCCCACCCCCTGGGCTAACTCCCCTTTGTCTCCTCTCAGCGAGGCGGCTGCGCAGTACAACCCGGAGCCCCCGGTAAGCCGCCCTCACGGCCAGAGAGCCCTCTTCTTCTCAGGCCCTTTTCAGACCCCATGCTGGTTCCTTTCGAGAAGCCCCGCCTTTCCCTCCTGTGAAACTCCCCTGCCATGAAGTCCCCCACCCGCCCTGCCCCCAACGTCGCTGAGGTCTGAGCCATGCCTCCCATACTCCCCATTCACTGCCCGCCCTTCGTCCTTCCGATCATCAGGCCGCCCGGCCCACTCTGACTTGCCCACAGGGGGTGCTTCGGTATGGGGAGCTGTCCTGGCCGGGGCACCCCTCATCTTGCCCGCTCTGAGATCTCCTTCCTCCGCAGCCTCCACGAACCCATTACTCCAACATTGAGGCCAACGAGAGTGAGGAGGTCCGGCAGTTCCGGAGACTCTTTACCCAGCTGGCTGGAGATGTAAGTGACCTGGGGCCCCTGGCCCTGGCCGAACCCTTGCATACCTTACCTTGGGCTGCCCTGGCATACACGCTTGATGAAAACCCCGAAGTTCCCATTCTCCTTCACGACACGTCCAGACCCCTTTCGGTCAGCCCTGACCTGTCCTTGATTTCTGCCTGCAGGACATGGAGGTCAGTGCCACAGAACTCATGAATATCCTCAACAAAGTTGTGACCCGACGTGAGTGACCAGGCTGAGGCATAGGGCAGGTTTAGAGGCATAGGGGTTGGGGTAGCTGTGACCTCTAGCCTCTGACTTTCAACCTTTCCGCCACAGATCCTGATCTGAAGACTGATGGTTTTGGCATTGACACGTGTCGCAGCATGGTGGCGGTGATGGATGTATCCTTGGGGGCAGTCTGGGAAGGCCCTGGGTGAAGAGGGAGTTTTTGAGAATATGTTTGGGACAGCCAGGATGTAGCCTTCATACCCACAGACATGGATATACACACATCAGAACACAATCATCTATAGTGTAAACATGTGGCAATAAATCATAACAACACCAGCTGGCACTATACTTATGTTAACTGACTGAACCTTCACAGCCATGCTGTTGGGACATCATAATTATTTTACTCCTTTTTTTTTTTGAATTGGAGTCTCACTCTGTCGCCCACACTGGAGTGCAGTGCACACTCCTGGCCATCTCAGCCTTGCCCTGCTGGACTCCGGCACTACAGGCGCATACTACCACGCCCGGCTAATTTTTTATTTAGTGTAGAGATGAAGTCTCACCAAGTTGCCCGGGTGGGTCTCGAACCCGCGGGCTCAGGCAATCCACTTGCCTTTGCCTCCCAAAGTGCTGGGATTACAGGATGAGCCACCGAGCCCAGCCCTTTTACTCCTTTTTTTTTTACTTTTTAAAGTTTGTTTTGGGGTTCGTTTTTTGGTTTTTTGTTTGTTTGTTTGTTTTCTTAATTGCTGGGACTACCGGTACACATTACAATGCCCAGCAAATTTTTAAAATTTATTTTTTTTTTTTGATTTTGATTTTGATTTTATTATTTTGAGCTGGAGTCTCACTCTGTCGCCCAGACTAGAGTGCAGTGGCCGCTCCCGGCCACCGCAGCCTCGACCTGCTGGGCTCTGGCGATCCTTCCGCCTCAGCCTTCCGAGTAGCCGGAATTACAGGCACGCGCTACCACGCCCGGCTGTTTTTTTTGATTTATTGTAGAGATGAGGTCTCACCAGTTGCCAAGGCAGGTCTCGAACCCGTGGGCTCAGGCAGTCCCAAAGGTGCGGGTTTACAGGCTGAGCCACTGAGCCTGGCCTCCCAAAGGTGCGGGATTACAGGCTGAGCCACTGAGCCTGGCTCAGAACAGTTTTTGAACCGTCAATTTTGATGCCTTTTAGTGTTTCTGCTGTCTTTGTTTCACCTCTTCCACGTTGGCAAAATATTTTCCTTTGAGGACTTTTTTCATCTGAGGAAACAAAAGTCGCTTGGGGCAAGATTGGTGAATAGGGAGAGTGGGACACAGGATTCGTGCTGTGTTTGATCAAAGACTGCTCAGCGATCATTGTTGTCATGGTGGAAGAACCAGTCACCTGTTTGCCACAACTTGGGATATGTCTTCTGCAAATCATGACCCAACTTTCTCAAAGTTTCCAGATAAAAGCTTTTGTTGACTGCTTGATCCGGTGGAACAAATTCCAAAAGATAATTCTGGTTTTTTGGGGGGCCTCCTTCATATACTTGCATCCGGGCCAGTCATTAACTGATCTTGGATACCTGCACACTCAGCACATAGGACTAGACACACACAAATACATATATCCATGGCATGTCATTACATATCTGTATTGCATAGAGTGAAACAATCCCAACTCTACCTCTTAGTCAGATTCCTGAACTTCTGTGCCTCAGTTTCCCTTTCTGTGAAGTGAGTAAGTGATAATGGTGATACCGAATTGAAACTTCATGCATAGGGTTTACCACAGTGCATAGCACACAGTAAGTAGTCTACACTGTAGCTGTTACTGTGATGTTAGTAGTAGTAGATTTTTCAGCATTAAGTATGCTTTTTTTTTTTTTTTTTTTTTTGAGTTGGAGTCTTACTCTGTCACCCAGGGTGGAGTGCAGTGGTATGCTTATGACCACCCCAGCGTCAACCTCCTGGGCTCAGGTGATCCTTCTGCCTTAGCCTCTCAAGTGACTGGGATAACAGGTGCATGCCATCACACCTGGCTAACTTGGTATAATTTTATTGCAGAGACAAGGTCTCTCCATGTTGCCCAGGCTGGTCTTGACCTCTGGCATCTAGCAATCCTCCCGTCTTGGCCTCCAAAGTGCTAAGATTACAGGCTTAAATCACCATGTCCAGCTGAGGATTATGTTGAACTTCAAACTATAAATTCCTCACCTGAAAAGAATTGTTAATTTTTCACCTATAAAATTTGCTATCCTAACTCAATTTAATCAATGTTGGGACATTTAAAAAACAAGGGTGTTTTAAAACTCTAAGAAAGTGTGATGGCTCAGCCTGTAATCCTAGCACTTTGGGTGACAGAGGCGAGAGGATTGCCTGAGCCCTGGGGTTTGAGAGCAGCCTGGGCAACTAGGTGAGATCTCGTCTCTACAATACATCACAAAAGCTAGCCAGGTGTGGTGGCATTTGTAGTTCCAGCTACTTGGAAGGCTGAGGCATAAGGATTGCCTGAGCCCAATAGGTCGAGGCTGCAGTGGCCGTGAGCATGTCATTGCACTACAACCTGAGTGACAAGAGTGAGACTCCAACTCAAAAAAAAAAAAAAGGAAAGTGATGGTAAGTACTGACTGGATTTGTGATAAAAACTAAATGATTTTTTTTTTTTTTGAGTCAGAGTCTCACTCTCACCCATGCTGGAGTGCAGTGGCACACTCACAGCCACTGTAGTCTCAATCATGCCACTGCACTCCAGCCTGGATGACCGAGTGAGACCCCCAACTCAAAAAAATAGTTAAACTTAAGTCTCCACACTTACGTTTAAAGAGAGTCCTTATTTAGGAATATAGACTAAAATATGTATAGATAAAAAGAAAAATAAAACCACACGCGAGTTGACATAACTAGGGTTGAATGAGAGCTGGAGTTTTAGCCCAGATTCTCCTGTTTGCTGTGTCATTGTCATATACACAGTGTACATAGTGCACAATCCGGGTACAGCTGTCATACTCCTTAACATTCCCTGGCCAGAGCGACACCACAGGCAAGCTGGGCTTTGAGGAATTCAAGTATCTATGGAACAACATCAAAAAGTGGCAGGTGTGTAGCGCCTCCAAATTCCCTGGCACCCAGACCCCCAAGCCATGGAGATATCATGCCCCATGGTACACAGTTAGGTCTTGACTTCTCTCTGTGTCCCTACAGACCATATACAAACAGTTTGATGTTGACCAATCAGGGACCATTGGCAGCAGTGAACTCCCAGGGGCCTTTGAGGCAGCAGGTATGGCTGGCAGGGACACAGTGGGGCTGGGGGTGGAATTGATGAGGCAGCCTGCACTGAGCTGGTCTGAGTCTGATTCCTGGGCACAGGAGTGGGTTGGACCCTGTGGCCCACACACCTGAGGGACTAAACCATTCTCAGGGTTCCACCTGAATGAACATCTCTACAACATGATCATCCGACGCTACTCGGATGAGGGAGGAAACATGGATTTTGACAACTTCATCAGCTGCTTGGTCAGGCTGGACGCCATGTTCCGTGAGTGACACCCCAGCTGTCTTCCGGGGGAGGGTTTACTCAACCACCATTGGCCAAGGTCTCCTTTAAGTGTGACCTTGAGGTGGGCAATGCTAGGAGCACAGCAGTGACCAAAGCAGCCTGAGTTCCTGCCCTCACAGAGCTCACAGTCCTGTGAAAGAGAAAGAAGTCACCAGACAGTAACAGCTCAGATGACTTTGGCTGGGATAGGGGAAGCCTAGGCAGAGTGATGGGGGCTTTAACGGAGGAGCTCTGGGCAGAGTTATAGGGTTTTGGCGAGGGGAGCATAGGCATAGTATGTTCAGATTTGCCTGGGGAAGCCCAGAGTCAGTTACTTCTTGCTGGTAGATCCAGTGGCTATGGAGAGCCATGGCAGGCTCTAGGCAAGGGAGGAACAGAGTAAGGTTTGTTCTTCCTGAGAGCCCAGGGAGGACAATGCATTAAGAGTGCGACAGAACCGGGCGCTCACATCTGTAATCCTAACACTTTGGGAGAGAGAGGCGAGAGGACCGCCTGAGCCCAGGGGTTCAGGCAACTTGGTGAGACCTCGTCTCTACAAGAAACCAAGAAAAATGAGCTGGGTGTGGAGGCACATGCCTGTAGTTCCAGCTACTCGGAAGGCTGAATCAGAAGGATGGCCTGAGCCCAGCAGTTTGAGGCTGCGGTGGCTGTGAGCATATTACTGCACTCCAGCCTGGGCAATGAAGTGGGAGACTCCGACTCAAAAAAAAGAAGGCGACAGAGGAAAAGAGGCAGATTACGTGGGATGGCAGAGAGGTGATGGGAAGGTGGGAGTGTACAATATGGCAGATGATGTCAAAAGTCACAGATGAGGAGGCCATGGGCTCTACCAGCAGGAAGGCTGATAGCAACTGTCACGAGTGCAGGACACTCTGGGTGTGGATGCCTGAGGGGAGTAACTGAGAGGTGAGGGAGATAGTGTAGACAGTGTCCTCTTTGCTTGTGGTTGGCTGTGGGTGGGGAACATGGAGTCAAGTTTCAGAGTAGGAGTGGGGACCACGCAGTACTCTAGGGGCAGGAAGTGGAGTGTGTGGAGCCACCTTCCCTTAGTCTGTGTGGGCTGGAATTGACGAGGGTGGAGCATAGATGTCAGCAGGAAGCTGGGACTGAAGCAGCAGGCGATTAGGGGGCAGGACCCCATAGGTATGCCATGACCGAGGTGGGTAAGCTTGGGTTCCCCAATCTCCTCACTCTCTTGCTATGTGACCTGGGCATGTCACTTCTCTGTGCCTCGTCTTTTTTTTTTTTTTT